ATAGCTGTACTGGATGGAGTCAAACCTTGACTTTGATTCCCCCTGTGAAAGTAAAATTGAATGGTAGGGCTGGGAGGGGTTAGTGGGAATGCTGTGTCTGTCACCTGCCAACCTCTACTACTATTTTAGCAGCAACAAGAAATCAGACAGCCCACTGGTATTTTTACCATGCCAAATAGCAAAGCCATTGGCAGCCTTGTTGAGGACTGGAGGGTAAAGCAGGGATGGTACTTCCTGTTTGGGCACTGTTCCCAGTAGAGGACTTCTACTCCTGGTATTCCGTGCTCTTGCTAGCCTCCCCCACCCCTTCTCATTGGGCCTGCTAGAATGGCTTCAGAGAAACAATCCCACTCACCTCACTTTTGTATCCTTTTTCTAGTCACATACCCCCAGAGGCTGGCTGCTGTTACAGCCGTGTGGTTCCCTCTCAATGGTGTTCTGGAATTGGAATCTTTTGGGTGTTTGACTGATATCTTTCAAAGCACTTCCTCGCAGCTAGCAGCACAAGTCTGAATTTGAGCCATTAGCAATCCAACAACTGTGGTTAGGCAGAGGTAAGATGGCCATTGCCTGCACTTAGGCCAGAATTGATTGTTGAACCAGAGACAGAAAATTAAAGTCGTTACTGGGATCAGTAGCTATTATGTGAATGTATCATGACAACTAGGACCTTGAGCAATAGTGGCTTACTCCAAGGTAGGACTGATGCTTGTATTGCAGTCCATTTTACTGTACATGTTCTGCTGTTTTTTGATTTTAGTACTTTTAGTGCAGTCAAATCATGGGTATACTAGGTATGCCAAGTAAATGGAATCTGACTCTTGTAAACAGGAACATTTAATAGCTTGCAGAAAAAACCCACACAAAATCAAACCAAAACATTTGGCATGATGAACAGATTGGTATGTATTGTACTGGAGGAATTGACAAGTTGTCCTTTTCCTTTGAATACAGTGCACAGTTCTGGCCTTTATAAAACAAAGGTGTTGAAATACAACAGAATGAGCAAAGGATTTGCAAAAATGATATCAACTGAGAAAAGATTCTCTTCAGTAAATGCTGAACAAACTGAGGTCTTTGCTGTAGAAAGGAAAGGAAAGGCAAGGCAGTACAATAAAAAGGATATGAAGGGGTTTATAGGGATGTTAGCAGCCCAGTACCTATTCAGTGACATCACTGTGACACATTTTCTGAGGTGTTAGTGAGTAGCCCAGCATACACCCAAGGGATAATCCAGTACATGACCATTAACATCATTGTGTGGCTTGCCACATACAAAGCAGGATTACATCAAGTCAATTAAAAAGTGATAATACCACACTGACTAATCTGTTCATCAAACTAAACTGTCTTGGAGACAGCTCCTGTAAATGATGGGGCAGTGCAGGAGAGTCATGGATTGTTAACGTAAAACATAAGAAATAGGAGATCACATGGCTTCCTGAGCTGCATCATTTGTTACAGCCACGGTTGGGCAATCAGCCTTGCCTCCCTCTTCCCTACCCACTTCCCATATATTTCGTTTTCCTGAGAGGAAAAGTCTGGGGGCAGGGAGTCACATTTTACATTCTAAAGTGAATAGTTGTCAAGTTTCCTTTGTGCTCCTGGTTCCTTGCTGGTGTTGTCTTGATAACTAGTAGTCAACTCCTCTTGTGCAGGGAGACAGCTCTTCATCTCCAGTGGTTTTGATTTGAGGGCACAGCACCTGTTTCCAGCTGCACCTTTCCTGGTGCTCAGGTGGAGTCCAAACAACCTTGCTTGCTGTTTAGATGCCCAGATGATACCAGGAGGGTGATGACCCCTGAACCGGTCTCATTTTTATGCTGACTTCTCTGACTTGTGATCGGATGCTGCACTTTTGCTTTAAAAAGGGACAGCCCCTTCCACTCTGATCAATATTTTAGTCTTTCCTATGGAAGACTTTCTGCCCTCTGACGGGGAGGTGATAGCCTAGTGGTATTATCATTGGACTGCTAAAATCAAGACCCAGGTAACATTCTGGGGACCTGGGTTTGAATCCCACCACAGCAGATGGTGGAATTTGAATTCAATAAGTAACTAGAATTAAGAGTCTAATGATGACCATGAATCCATTGTCAATAGTTAGAAAAATCCATCTGGTTCACTAATGTCCTTTAGGGAAAGAATACTGCCATCCTTACTTGGTCTGGCCTACATGTGACTCCCAACCCACAGCCATGTGGCTGACTTTTAACTGCCCTCTGAGCAATTAGGGGTGGGCAATAAATGCTGGCCTAGCTAGCGACACCATCATCCCATGAATGAATTTTTAGAAAAAAAAACTAATTCTGATTTGGCACAAGCCTGCCTTCAGCTAATCCAAAGCAGCAGCTCCTAAACACTGGCCAGCTTCAATAAAATTGTAAACCTCCATAAAGCCAGGCTTTTGAAAAGAAATCCCTAAACCTTAATTTACCTCAATAAAATTACTTACTGGTTTTCAGTTTGACACTCCCTTCTGTGTTCTCCAAGATTTCTTGTGTGCAAAGCTCCTGTAGGATATAAGCATGTGCAATGTTGCCATCATTTTTCAGCTGCCTGCCTACATTTTAAACCATGAAAATCCAGCACTTAATAAAGATGAGAAGATTGGAGATTAATGCTTAATGAGCTGCTACACTCCTTTGCTTTTGTGCCTGTTGATGACCACTTTCTCACCTGTTTTGCTACGCCACATTGTGATCAATGAATTGAAATTAGTTTAACTTTACAGGCCTGAAATGTTGAGGAAATAAATGGGCACTATTCAACCACCACACCCCAGCCACTAATGGATTTATTCCACATCCTTGTTGTTCCTGGCAATTGGCTTCATGTGAATCAATTTTAACTTTGTAACAAAATCATAATGTGAAATAACTAGATGATCTGCTCAACAGCCAAACTGGCCAACAGACAAAAAAATGAATCTGAGCATTACAGGATTCTTGCAGTCAACAAATTTAGTGTTACAAGTGCAGGCAAATGATGATACTATTTGACTTTTTTTTATTCATTCACAATGAGGGTGTCACTAGCCAGGCAGCATTTATTGCCCATCCCTAGTGGGCAGTTAAGAGTCAACCACATTGCTATGGGTTTGGAGTCACATGTAGGCCAGACCAGGTAAGGATGGCAGTTTCCTTCCCTAAAGGGCATTAGTGAACCAGATAGGTTTTTCCAACAATCGATAATGGATTCAGGGTTATTTCCATGGTCACTTATTGAATTCAAATTCCACCATCTGCTGTGGCAGGGTTAGAACCTGAGTCCTCAGAATGTTAGCTGGGTCTTTGGATTAATAGTCCAGTGATAATACCACTAGGCCATCGCCTCCCCACACCAGATGCACTAGTGTCAGAATCAAGCTCTGAAAGGCACAGATTTAAGACACAGTCATTCTGCTATAGCAGTATGCTCCAATCCTGTTTTCTGGCAAATAATTTTTTTAATACATCAGTGGGTCATAGTTTTGCTTTTCCAATAAGAATTATCCTGAGGCTTCTGAGTGAGGTTGCCAGTGGGAGCAAGTAAAGCTCTTCTTTATGTTACAAGAAAGTTTATTGAAATTATAGAACCCTTAGAATAAGAGGGTATTTTAATCCCATGATTAGGGTCTAACCAACTAAATCACCAAGTTTCTGCGTTCTTACATAAATACAAGTCCCACCTGCTCCAGAATAACAGAATTTTATGGTACAAAGGGAGGCCCATTGTGTCTATATTGGCTCCCAAAAAAATCTACCTAGGTGGATCCATTCTCCATCCCTGATTCATAGTCGTCTAAATTCATCACTTTCAAATATATATCCAGCTCTCTTTTGAAACCTCCATGGAATCTGCCTCCACCACACTCCCAGGCAGCACCATTCCAAATCCTAACAACTGAGTAAAGAAGTATTTTTTTCTCACCTTCTCCTAGCTCTTTTGCTGACAGTCTTGAAACTATGACCCCTAGTTACTGACATACCAAGCAATGGAAACAAAACACCTTTCTTTACCCTGTCAAAGTTATTCATTATTTTGATCACCTCAATAAGATCACCTGTAATCTTCTCTGCTCCAAGAAGAATAAGCCCAAAATCTCTAATCTTTCTTTGTATCTAAAATCACTCATTCCTGGTATCATTCTTGTAAATCTTCTTTGCATTCTCTCCAGGGCCTTAACATCCATCCTTTAAATAAGGTGCCCAGAACTGAACATGCTACTCCAAATGTGGGGTCTGACCAATGATTTGTAGAGGTGTAGCATCACTTCCTTGTTTTTATACTCCGTGCCTCTATTTATAAAGTCAAGGATCCTATAAGCCGCCTTAAGAATGGTTTCAACTTACCTGGCCACCTTCAGAGAATTATGCACTAGATCCCTTTGCTCTAGTACTCCCATCAAAGTTGTATCATTTGAGCCTGTATTGTGTCTGCATGCTGCTTCTACCAAAAATGCATTACCTCACCTTTCTTTGTATTGAAATTCATCTGCCAGGTGTCTGCCCATTTGGTCAACTTGTCAACGTCCTTCTGAAGTCGCACAGCGTAATCCTCACAATCCACTATTCTTCCTAGCTTGGTATTGTCTGCAAATTTAGAGATTTTGCCCTCAACACCCATCTCCAAATCATTTATATAAATCAGAAAAAGGGTCCTAACACCCATCCCTGAGTAACACCACTTGCAACCAGTCTGAGGAATGCCCATCTATACCTACCCTCTGATTCCTATCTAATCAATGCTGCCAAAGACCTATCAATCCCAAACATTTCTAATTTGCTAACCACCTGCCATGTGCCATTAAATTATTTTTCTCTAACATATTTTAATAAATTGATTTTAAAAATATTGACAAAATTTCTTAAGTAATTATCTGCCATTATCTTGTGATTTAATCTGTAGTCAGGAATGGTGAGAGCACTAAGCAAGGGGTCATGGTTATTCATTAACACAATGTGCGTTTTACATTACTGTAAACAAACAAAATGTTTCAAATGTTCTTGTAATTGCAGGTAAAAGTAAACATGAAAGTGGAGAGTTCTTCAAGCTCCAAGTCAAAACAGTTTCAGTCAACTGCACAGTAAGAAAACCAAAGGCATTTGAAGAACACCTTCCTGTTAACAGTGTCATGCTTGATGTTCCAAACAAAGATTATATCCAGGATGGTGAAACTCCTTGGCGCACACATCTAGATATTCACCGTGTGCTGCAAGCACAGAACACAGGTCAAAATAGTCAATTGCAGGAAAACAGGGAAGCAGATGACCAAACTCAACAGGTAGCTTCAATGAGCAAAAAAGGCCTACTTAATAAAAGTAGAATTGAGTCATGTAATTATAAAAGAGCCAATGGTGAAGTAACAGCACACGTCACCTGCAAGTCTAATGAATTAAAGGCAACCCATTCTTTCACAAACCACAATCATTGCATTCCTAAGATCAATAAAAGATTTTCATTTCCAAATGAGAGATCAAATATATGGTCAAGCAAAAGTGGGCTCCTCACTAAAATAGCACCAGTTGCCACAAAAGGGGATTATTACCCATTCCCTCAAATGAAGTCTCCAAGGAAGTCTGACACTGCCAAGAATCTTGGCTTATACGCCAAGCAGTAAGTGTTAAGCCCCAAAAAGTGACTTGTTCCTTGGAAATGCAATTACAAATAAAAATAACAGCTACTCCATTTTGAGATGTCAGCTTGCTGTTTCTTTAGAAGCCTGTTAAGAGAATTTCCTTTCTAAAAAGAAATTAGCTCCTTAAGGGAGTCTGCAAAGGAAATTAATGAAACTCAGTGAAATGACATGATTAAAGTGGTACAAAACAAGTTTACCCTGGTTGATCATACACCATAAGAATGAGATGTGCATTGATTGAATACGAAGCATTTCATTTATTCCATAAGTAATTGGGGTCACTAATTTTAAAGAGTTGTTAAAATGTGTAAATTATAATGTTGTAAACTTATTAACTGTGTTTTGTGAAAAATCAACTCTATTATACTTCTTTGCACTCTCTTGCTATTTATATTTATTGTCTTGTTTTTGTCAGGATCCAGTTTTCAGGGAAAAAGTTAAGCTGCTTCATTTTTCTTCCCACGGAGATAAAACATCATGCTATTGTACACACCACCCAATAATCTTCTGAAAATCCAGTGAAACATATTGATCGTGACAAGGCAGTTCAAATGATATTTGCAGCTGAGATTAAAACCAGAGACTGACATCTGAAAGCATAATAAACATACACAAAACTCTATTATATCAACAGTCTTAGCTTGATTAAAATAAATGGAGTAAAGTCCCACTTAAAATTGTGAAGGAAGGAGTTCTGTACAAAAGTATTAAGCAGATCTGTAATGCCTCCTGTATGAGATGTATAACTGAAGTCCTATCTGTTTACTCAGAGGGCTATCAAAGATCTCTTGATTTGAATACCAGGAAATTCTTCCAGTTTCCTGATCAAGACATATCTCATAATAATCACCACCATTAAAACAAAAAGGATGCTGTTTGAGGGAACTTGCTGTCTATAAAATTGACTGTCACATTTTCTTTAAATCAGTTCAAAAGTTAGTTAGTTCATTGACTGTAAAGAACTTAAGATTCTAATTAGACCTCAAATATGCCTCATAGCCATTGAGGGTAGAACCATAATACCATAGATATAGAAGCAGAATTGAGCCATTCGGCCCATGGAGTTTCCCTCTCCATTCCATCATAGTTGATAAGCTTTTCAACCCCTTTCTCCTGCCTTCATCCTGTAACCCTTGATCCCTCTACAAATCAAAAACCTACCTATCTGTCTTAAATGCACTTGATTAAATTGGCCTCCACAGATTCATCACCTCTGGTTGAAGAAATTCTTTCTGTTCTCAATTCCAAAGGGTCATCCCTTCCCTCCTGAGGCTGTGCCCTTGGGTCCTCGTCTCTCCTACTAGTGGAAACATCCTCTCCATGTCTACTCTATCCAGGCCTCTCCGTATTCTGTAAATTTCAATGAGATTCCCCCCTCATCCTCCTAGATTCCTTTGAGTACAGATCCAGAGTCCTCAACCACTCCTCACATGACAAGCCCTTCATCCTCATGGATCATTCTTGTATATCTCCTCTGTACTCCTCCAACACAACACATCTTTCCTTAGAAACGGGCCCCAAAACTGCTCAATACTCCAAAGGCAGTCTAAACAGAGCTTTATACAGCTTCAGCATTACATCTCTGCTCTTGTATTCTAGCCCTCTCAAAATGAATGCAAACATTGCATTTGCTTTCCTAACTGTCAAATGACCTCAAAAGGATCCTGAACTAGGATTTCCAAGTTCCTTTGTGCTTCAGATTTCTGAGGCCTTTCCCCACTTAGAAAATAGTCTATGCCTCTATTCTTCCTATTGAAGTGCATAACCTCATAATTTCCCACATTGTGTTCCATCTGCCACTTCTTTGTCCACTCTTCTAGCCTGTCCAAGTCCAAGTCCATCTGCAGCCTCCCCACTTCCTTAACACTACCTGTCCCTACACCTATCTTTGTATCATCTGCAAACTGAGCAACAATACCCTCAGTTCCTTCATCCAGATCATTAATGTATAACATGAACAGTTGTGGTCCCAACATTGACTATTGCAGAACTCCACTAGTCAGGAGCTGCCAACCTGAAAAAGACAGCTTTATCCCTACTCTCTGCCTTCTGCCAGTCAGCCAATCCTGTCTCCATACCAGTACCTTGCGCCATTTGTTAGAATACATGTCAGCAAGCTTCTTTCAATTAATTTAGAGGGAGAAAATGGAAGGATGGTTACAACAGGTTAGGAAGAGGTAACGTGAGTGGAAATAGGCTTGTGTACAGTAGTAATACCAACATGGATTAGTCAAATAGAATAATCTGCTTCTGATTGTGTAATTTATCTGCAAAGATTCTTACCCTTCACAACCTTGTTTCAGCCCACTTTGTTAATTCCAAGCATCTGTTACTGCTCAGACTCCAGCTTCTACAATTGTACTTTTTCTTCCTTTACCCATTCCAACAAGAATAGCAAAGCCTACAATCATCACCTTGTGGCACACTGGTAGTGTCTCTACCGCTGCTTCCGAAGGTCCAGGTTCAAATCCCAACTCTCCCAGATGTGTTATACCATAACAAGTTGATTAAAAATATTTACAATCATCACACTTCCCATTTTCTTGAATTATTATCTCACTTCATCAAAAGAAAAGGCTCCTCAAAATTTATAACTTCAGGTCATCCCTTTAATTTTCACTCAATTCTTGATATACCACTTTAGTTATGTAAAAAGCATTTTTTATGTCAAAGGTACTACAGAAGGTGTGCATTTGTATTCAAACATGCTGCACAGATTTTGGTAACAAACTCAGTTTACATATCAGTGATAAATATTATAAAGTTTCTATTTCAATTCCAAACTGAAAAATTAATAAATTTAAGTATATATGTATATCACATTTCTTTCTAAAAGCTTTTATACATCATACTATCTAATTTATTTTTAATATTGTATTATTCATATTCCTACACTTTACACTTGCTGTAAAATATAAGTTTTGAAATAAAAAGACTTCATTTCACAGGTAATCTGAATCAAATACAGGCTGAAAATGACAAATTTTATTGAAGACGTTCATTTTGCATTTATCAGGATAATTCGCAGGAATACCAATGTAAAGTGCAAATAAAATTTATACTGTATGAGAAGACAGTGCTGATGTGTTAGCAATTGATTGATTGGTAGAGGCATTGCTATGGAGAATTCACCAGTTATATAGTGACTAACATTTAATCGTCAAAATTTGTTTAAACTTTAAATGAGGTAGATTGTCTCTGATTGGTCAAGATACTTCCCTGAAATGTTGTTTTCCCATTACGTTGTATTCTTGCAAATTGTCGTGATGAGTGAAAGACAAAAAGGTTCGACAAAATTTCTTTTTTCATCAATGTTCAAGTTCTGCACCAACAAATAACAGTCAAATCAATATTATTTGTCCACTGAAGTGAAGTGCCTTGTATGCTATATTATGCAACTGAATCAAGTTCTAATTGGAAAGAAAATGATGACAACAGTAAATCAATAAATATGTAGTTCAACACTTCGCAATCTTCAGTTGAGTGATACTGATGATATCATACAACAGATGGATGTTAGACTCCATTGTATCACAGAATCCTTAGCTTGTCATGGCCAAGGCTATGAAGAGAAATGTTAAAGAAAACTGCATTCTCTTCCATATTATGTTTAAATTTTGATTCGTTTAAAAATGGACAATATTTCTGGACTCATAAATTAGCCACCGCCAATCACATAATCATGTTTTCAGAAGCTTCTGAACACCCTGAATTGTATAAACATTCCAGCTAAAGCTGACATAAAGGAACTGAAGATGAACCATCTGCTTCCAACTTTTGCTGGATGAAGAAAAACATTAAGATCTATTATGCGAAAATGGACGCTAACACATTTATAATTGTCTTGTCACCTTGCAACAGAAACTCAAAAGGGGGATGTAAAGCTTTGTTAGTGACCTTCCAATTAGCCCGCTGAAATGGACTATTGGTACCTGAAATTGGGACTGGCTGCAAAAGACTAAATATACAATTCTAGGATTCAAAGTCAGTTGCTGTTTGAACTCTATAGAGCGATCAGATCTCCACGCTGAGTTGACAGCCTGCCTCAGATCTTCCATCTTTGTCTCTAAGTTGCTAATTTGAAAGGACCAACACTTTGCCTGCAAGAAAGAAAACGATTTGGCCCAGATCACCAAGGAACCTATTACTGGTCTCTGACCTCCAAGAAGTTATAACTCATGTGATCTGATTTTCAATACTTCTGGATTTACTAAAACTATTTCAACTCCTGTTCTAATCTAAAACAATTGCAGATATGAAAATCTGAAACAAAAACAGAAATTGCTGAAGAAACTCAGCAGATCTGGCAGCATCTGTGGAGAGAAAGCAGTTAACATTTCAAGTCCAGTGATCCTTCTTCAGAAGTCCTATCTATCTTCCTTAATTTCAAGAGAAAATTGCATCAATGCAATAGTGAAGTACTTCCTTCATGTTTTGAATGTTTTATTAATAAATTCTAGCTTGGATTTGATCTTAGATTTTTTGACATGGGCTTATTTTAAAAATTGGAATCCAAAAATCTGCATCAATCAGTCCAGAGCCTTGTATACCTATATCACATTGTCCCCTCCCCACCATGACTAAAGTGCTGTTTAGGACGATCTGTCAGTGATAAAGCAGTTGCCTTGCAGCCATTTTAGGGTCTTGAAGGTATTACCTAATGTAAAGATTTACATCCCTAAACGGAAGTGCCAGCCATGAGCTGTGGCCACTGCTGAGACTACAGGCACTCCCCACTCCCCAAACTAAAGGAAGTTATGGAGCTAGGCTTCAAGTCATTGCTACCAGCTGGGCTTTGCAGACAACCTCCAGCAAGTTGTCAAGGCATGTGGGAAACCAGGTTTGGAAGGTAGGGAGGAGAGTTAAAAAGAGAGCATGACTTCCAAGAGAATGTCTCCAAAGTGTGCACACACCTTTTTTGTCCGACACCAGCTGGCCAAGCAAAAGCTGTTAGGCTACCTGCTCAACCTGTTGTAGGTAAAATATTAGTGGGAGCAGGGCAATGCACCTAGGTGGTCACTTAAGGGCCTCAACATGCCCAAGAATTAACAGGCCACCTGACAACTCCACTGTGTTCCCCTAGTAGATTGGGAGACAGGTTAGGGGCGAGTGGGGCATTTCCCTTTCAGACATGTGACGGACCATAAAATCCAGCACCACGGCAGGAATTATAATGCAGGTTATAGGAGTGAAATTAACATTTGCAATACAATATTATTTGGGATTATCCGAATGCTAAAGGGATAGATCAACACAGTAGTCTGCAATGAGGCTCAATGTTGATGGCGCAGGATGCACACATGCAGACCAACAGTTAAAACCCAAGATAGACAAAAATAATGCCAGTATTTATAATCCTGGATATTCTGAGAAAAGACCCACATTTACAGACAAGAATATTAGAAAAAGTACTGAAGGAGAAAACTAATATCCATTTAGACAGGCAAGGCTTGATCAGGGATAAACAGCATGGATTTGTCAGAGAGATGTCATGCCTAACAAATTTGAGGTTGTGACCAAGTGTTTGAATGAGGGTAGGGCAATTGATGTAGATTATATGGAATTCAGCAAGGCCTCATATGGGAAACTGATAAAGCTCATGGGATCCAGAGTAACTTGTCTATGTGGATCCAAAATTGGCTTGGTGAGAGTGGTGGCAGAAACCTGTTTGTGTGTCAAGAGCCTGGTATGCAACAGAATTTCACAGGGATCAGTGCCAGGTCCCATATTTGTGATATCATAAATGATGTAGAAGAGAATGTGGAAGGGATGATAAGTAAATTTTCAGATGACACAAAGATTGACCAAGTGATTGACAGTGAGGAGGAAGGTGTTAAGTTATAGGATTGGTCAGATGGGCAGATCAGTGGCAAATGGAATTTACCCCTGATAAATGTGAGGTGATGCACTTTGGAAGAAGGAACAAGACAAGGAAGTACTCATTGAATGGCAAGACACTAGGACATTCAGAGGAACAGAGAGATATTGGGGTGCTTGTCCACAGATCTCTGAAGGTGGCAGGACAGGGTAATAGGCTAGCTAAGTTTTTTTTCTTTATTCATTCAAAGGATGAGGGCGTCACTGCTAGGCAGCATTTATTGCCCATCCCTAATTGCCCAGAGGGCAGTTAAGAGTCAACCACACTACTGTGGGTCTGGAGGCACATGTAGGCCATACCAGGCAAAGACGGCAGTTTTCCTTCC